ATAAATCAATAAACTCCTACTTCAAGTAATTAAAAAGAATCAAAATAACCATAAAGCAAATAAGAAGGAAATTATAAAGTACACATGAATGGAAATAAAAAAAAATAATAGAGAAAAATCAATGAAACAAAAATCCAGTTCTTGTTGCAGTACAGGTGAGCAGTGCAGTGCTTGCAGGAAAATTCTAAAAACTATCTATGAGAAAAGTTCAACACAAGCCGCTCTTGAAAACAGAAGAGAGAATAATTCTATAAAATTCAAAACATTGCATAGATCTAGTACGGTTCTGATATACAAGTCAGACAAGGACAAGACAAAAAAAAAAACTACAGACCAATATCCCTCATGAATTTTGGGTAAAATACCTTAGTACAGGATAAAAAATAGATTTGAAACAACATATAGAAATAATTATACACAATAACCAATAGAGTTTATACCACAAATGCTAGGTCAGCTTAATATTTGAAAATCAACCAGTATAGACAGCCATATTAAATGAAAAAAAACCCCACAATATTACATAAATTGATGTAGAAAGTCATTTTATAAAATTCAACCACTAATGATAAAAACCCTAAGCAGTCTACAAAGACATATCCCAGGCAAATATAAGCCAAAATCTGATCATTTATTTTAAAATTTTTATTAAGATGAAGATACCAAATATTCAAGATCTATAGGATACAATTAAATTAGTGACCAAAGGAAAACTCATGTCTTTAATCATATAATAAAAAGTGAACTCAAGAAGTTACGAAAGGTGGCTGGATGTAGTGGTACACGCACGTAATCCCAGCACTCAGGAAGCTGAGGCAGGAGGACTGTTACAAGTTTGAAGCTAGCGTGGGCTACGAAGTGAGTTCAAGGCCAGTCTGAACTACATAGCAAAACCCAGTCTCAAAAAAGACAAAAAAAAAAAAAAGTTTTTAAAAGGAACAACAAACTAAAATGAAGCAGAAGGGAAATAAAAACAAAATCGTGGAATTTGTGATTTTAAAAACAAACTATAGTAGAATAATAAATTAATGATTTTCACTTATGAAAATCTATAAAATATAAACTACTAACCTAGTCAAGTAAAACAAGAGAGAAGCACAAAAATACATAGAGTAAAAAGTGATGAGAAAGAGGCTGGGGATTTAGCTCAGCAGCATAAGCGCCTGCCTTGCAAGCAGGCAGTCGTGAGTTCGATCCCTGGTACCGATAAAAAGGCAAAAGGCAAAAAAAAAGTGATGAGAAAACACATTAAACCAGAGGAAAATTTAAAAAATAAATCCACTTCTTTGCATAAGTTTACATAAATAAATTAGAAAACCTACGGCCAGGATATAGTTCTGTGGCACAAGCATCTGCGTGGCAAGTGCAAGGTCCTGAGTTTGATTCCTGGTACCAAAAAATAAAAAAATTAAAAAGTAGAAAACCTAAATCAAATGGATAATTTCTAAAGGACATACAATTTATCAAACTTGTCTCAGGAGATTACAATGTTTAAACTGATCGATATCCAGACAAAAATACAGAAATTACTTAAGAATTACCTTACCAAAAAAAAAAGGTCAAACATATCCAATTTCTCATAAGAAGTCTACCAAATATCTAAAGACCATGTAATTTCAATTAGTTTGTTTTGAGACAGGGTCTCACTATGTAGTTCAGGCTGGCCCCAAACCCCTAGCAATCCTCCTGCCTCAGCCTCTGAAATGCTGGGATTATAAGTGTGCACCTCTATACCCAGCCAAATGGTTCTCGACCTGTCCAAGAGCACAAGAAAAGAAAGCATTCCAATTCTTTTTACTAAGCAGTAACTGTTATAGCCCACAGCACAGCACTTCTGGTAGCATCTGCCAGTAGAGGCCCTCTAATTTTCCTAATGCTCACATTTCAGTGGAAAACCATATATGTATTACAAACTTACAAGCTTGTAGAACTGTCTCATTACAATCCTTTTGGGTTTTGGGTTTGTTTTTGGGGAGTGTGGCCAACATTAAAGTAGGAAAAATGTATACAATTCTAAAACTTAATATAGCGCTTTAAACAAAGTAACATTATACTCAAGCAAGAGTTCAAATTCACCTAGTGAATTATCAGAATCAGGTGTATGTTTTTCAAAAATTCAGTAGTTTCAGAAGAGGAAGTGTCCAAAGCAATCACTTATTAACAGCTATTTTAACTGGTGATCAGGAAAAAATGTTACTTATTTTATCTCCTAAAATGATAGCTAGTGGCTTTTTAATGTTTAACTGTACTTTTAGTTACATTTTAGGAAATTAGGGATTTTAAACTGACATGTAATACATTACACTTTATTAACATTTAAAGTAATGGAAGGGCTAGGAGTGTAGCTCAGTGGTACACCTTTTGCCTAACATGTATGAGGCTCTGGATTCAACTCCCGGTACAAATGGAATGGAATGAAATACGAAATGAAACAAAATATATAGAAAATTGGATTCTTATTCAAAACATCTGATTTTTAAGAATGAAGCAGTGAAGCTGAGCAAAAGCATGATGATCTTAAACCTCACGATGTTTAAATATAACACGAGGAAGCCATGCAACGTATCTTACTCAAAGCATCAATCCAAGTATTTCACATAGAACATTAAGCAAAATCTAATAGTGTATTAAAAATAAATATAATAACCAAATGAGGTTAATCTAAGATTAGAAAGATAGTTCCACATTAGGGAATCCATTGCTATGTATCTCCATACTGAAGGGAAAAAAAGGATCTCTATGGATACTGAAAATACCAACAAAATTCGGTAACTTTGCTAGGTAAGAACACATATTGAAATAGGAAGTAAGGGTTACCATAACATGATTCTATATGTTCACAGCCCTACAGCCCCACACCAGCATCCATAATTTAGTATTGGCAGAGACAAGATAGTGGTACCCATTTACTCACCAGCACAACCAAATAATTAGTAACACTAAGCCTGAGACTTGGAAAGAAAGAGTTAAGAGGTACATTCACTAATGTTTTAACAATAGACTTGGAAAAAAACAAAGAGAATCAACACTAAAACTAAAAAGCAATTTTCAGGACTCAAAAAAGTAGGAGAATATAAAATTAACATACAAAAATCAATAGCCTAGATTTTTGCTTCTAGCAGAAGTAACAGCAAGGATCAGATTAATTCCTAGTCCCCAAAAGCAACAATCAAAACCATCAAACACTCAGAAAATAAAATGCTAAGTCACAGACTGGGATAAAACACTTGTAAAATATCAGATAAAAATTTGTATCCAGCATACATAAAGAATTCTTCAATTCAATGATCATAAAATAAAAGCTAGTTTAAAGTGGGCAAAGACCAGAATAGATCTTCATCGAAGAAGACACACAGATGGCAACTACGCATAGTAAAAGATGCCCTGTATCATATGTCCTTAGTAAATTAACAGTTAAAACAAAAATACCACTCTATGCTTAAATAGAATGACTAAAACCCAAATCCACTGATAACACAAAATGCTGGCATGGATATAGAGAATTCTCATTGACTGCTGAAAGAAATGCAGATGACACTCCAATTTTGGAAGACAATTTGGTTTCTTCAGAAATGAATAGTCTTAGCATACAACTCAACAACATGCTCTTAGGTATTTAGCCCAATGAGTTAAAAATGTATGTTCACACATGCATGCCTAGAGCAGTTTTATGCATAATTACCAAAAACAAAGTAGGCATGATGTCCTTCAATAAGTAAATGGATAAACAAACTGTGGTATATGCAGACAATGGAATTTAATTCAGTGCTTTAAAAAATGATTTAGCAATCTACCCAATGAAAAGCAGGAACATTAAGTGCCAAGTGAAAGACAATGTGAAAAGGCTATATAACACTGTATGACTGCACCTGTATAAAACACTATAAAAGGCAATAACACACACTATAAAAGGCAATACTCCAGACAAAGTCCATCAGTGACTGCCAGCAGGGACGGACTCTAAGGGGATATAGAGGGTAGAAAACAGCCACATCTGGGCTCCTGTAGACAAAAGCCAGGTGGGGTGGGGACTCTGGGCTCCTCCTTAAGCTAATCCAGGGGAAATCAGATGAGGATTCTAAGACAAAAACTAACTTACGCTCATGAGTAGCAAAGCAAGTAAATGGATTATGACCAGCTTTCTTCCAAGGACCCTAAGATGAAGGATAGGCTGAGCAGCTAAACTCCACCACCTTCCACTATTTTACCTAGGATCATGTACTGGGCTAGTTTCTGGTGAGCGGTCTAAGCAAAAGGACCACGTCTGTCATGTGTCCACATGTAGCTGCCACTGCGCGTGTGGGCAGGCATGTGGGGTAGCTGTGCAAGTTCAACTGGTCTGCACAACAGCTATACAGTGTGCCGGCCTTTGTTTGGTCTCTCCCCTGTGCCCTCAGAATGTTTTCTTCTTGGCGTTCATGAGGCGTCCATGTACCTTCCCCAGTGCAGGAGCCTGGATTTGTTAGCTGCAAGTTTCTTCCTACTAGACTGGCTGGCTCACCCATGCCCTAAGTGCCTGCTCAGCTCGGGTCTAGGTACATGTGAGAGTTGGAGAGGAAAAAACGGGCAGTTTAGGCAAAGTCCTGGGGAAGCCTCAGAGAAGTGCCATAGGAGCACCTAAGCAGGTAGGATAACCTCCTCACCACCAGCTCTTAGCCCCAGTGGAGCAGCCACAGTTCTTAGAGGCTTTTATGCAACAATAAAGGGTCAAGTGACAATACTACTTTCCTACTCTGTGTTCCAGCACTCTAATTCAGTGCTTGGCAACTCACAAATGTTTTTGGAAGGAAAGAGAAAGAAGCTTAACCTTCAGTTGCCTCCAGGTCATTAAAAAATCAAGTGATATCAAGGGACACATACTGACAGCAACAGACTTTCTCCAGCTGAGAGAACAATTCGAAGAGGCACACTAGCTCCATAGCAGCCACCAGGGGGCAGGAGAGAAAGGTTGTTGGACCTGCACAGAGGCTGCTGCTCAGCTGGCATAGGGAGATACTCACTGGGAAAGGCTGTGGTCTCCCCAGCAGGGCCTGTCAGTGTTGCCGGGGCATGCACAGTGGTGCCTGGGTCTGAGGGTTGACTGCTCATCCGAGTAACATTCCGCTGATTGTCTGCATCCTCTGGCTGCTCCTCCACCTTCTGAAGACAGGTACTAGCCAGTGTGTGCACAGGACCCACACCCATCATTCCACCGGCCTCTGCATCACAGTGAGTTTCCCTGCAACCATGAATGCACATCAGAGATGCAATCTCAAACTCCTACTTAGTTTGCAACATTTAGCTCCTTGTACTGTACCCAGGGCAAGTAAATCTCAGCCCTTCCTCTGCTGTTCTATCTTTGTATGGTTCCTAGCACCCTGTACCCTTTTATCTTTAGGTCCACGTATGAGGCTGACTCATTTACTGTCTTTGGCACAAAGCCAGGCAATACTGACCACCATGTCAATCAACACACTCATAGACACAGAGATGGAGATCCATAGAACTGCTTAAGGAATAGAGCAGAATGCTTTTCTGGGCCAGCCTACCAAGTGTCCCAGCAAGCCAAAGGCCCAGCTCAGAACTTTGTACACAAAGACAGGGCCTCCACTGGCTGATCTTGAGCTATGGCCTCCAGCTACACTTGCCTCAGTTGGTGTGTGACCCATCAGCAAGCACAGACACTGGTCTCAGCTTCCAGGCTTCCATTCCCAGGCCTCTGGTGGCATCATATCCACACAGTCTGGCCCCTCCAGTAGTACTACCCTACCCTGTAGCCCCCTCAGGCTTCCCTCAACGTCTTTAGCTTCACTCTCTTCCACAGTGCCAGGTCATGCTGTTCTTCCCAGTCAGAGCGTCCTGAACACAACCACTCTCCCCTACACCCTTTGTTCCTTGGGGTGGCTTAAAACGATGCCTGATATTTGCAGAGCATACTCTGCACCAAGCAGCTTTGAGCATTTTGCCCAGGGAAAGGAGCCAACAGTGACAATAAGGGCCACCTGTCCCATCAGCTGGGACACTGACTGGGGGCATCACCTTCCAGAAGGCCAGTCCTTCTCCCTCCCATGACACAAATGGGAGCCTGCCCATCTCCAGCCCCACTCCAGACCCTTACATACTTGGGCTGGTGGTTCCGGATCTCCTTGTCCCCTTCCAGGGTCTCGCCCTCCTTCTCCATCGCCTCCTGCGAGGCGGGTGCTTTGTGGCGAGTCCGGTGCCGACGGCCGGGCTCCTCTCCACTTTCCACCTCCTTGGAGCCTGTGCGGGGACCCCGGTGCCTTGTTCGCCGCTCCCCCTTAGCCACAGAACCATCTTTGTCCTTGCCCGGGTCAGGAGCACGCCGGTGAACGCGATGATGCCGCCGGCCACCCTCAGGACCCCGGCCACGCTCACCCCGGGCCTCCTGGCTACCAGAGGCCTCCTTGCTGCGGCTATGGCGTGGGCGTGCACGCTCCTCCCGGGACACAGGCTCCTCACCATCCGCCCGGTCCCGTTCTTGTTCTGTGGCCGGAGGCAGCACAGCTGAGGCCTTGTCCCTGTCGCGGTGCCGGTGGTGCCGTCGCAGTGCATCCATAGCCTCAGTGGTCTCTGTGCCCTCTGGCCGGGCTTTGCCCCCTGTGGGGCCCCGTGGTCCGTCTCGGCTGGGCTCCACCACCAGTGGCCGGTCCAGATGTGTCTTCATGTCAGGCCGCAAATGGCGTGAGGTGGCATAGCGCAGTCGCTCCTCAGGATCCATTTCGCTGTACAGCGCCTCACAGCTGGCACGCAGATTCTGCAGCCGAAGCTGGCTGGCCCGCTGCTCCCACACTGACCGTGCCCGTGCCGAGTTCTGCTGCCTGCTGCGGGAAGACTGGCAATGAGTGGCACTGCCCAGCTGCTCTGTTGCGCAGGGAAGCCATAGATGGACACACAGTGATGGAAGGATGGCAAGGGGGCACAGGAAGGACAGGGGAAAGGAGTGGTGGCAGGAGCCCTCAAGACCCCTGGCAGAGTGATGCTGCCAGGTAGGTAAAACCAGGAAACTGGTTCAGTCCCCTCAGGTGTCCCACAGATGCATAGAACAGCATCGGGCTCAAGGCCACTCCTGAGCAGTGGGCAGCAGTCCCAAGTCCCAGGGGTGCAAGGACAGGGGGCAGTTGGCACCAGCTGGAGTTAGCAGAAGCTTCCAGAAGGTGGTCAGCTGACCAGGAAGGCCCAAGGGGAGAAGATGAGGGGGAGGCACTGGAAAGACAGACTGCTCCCTGGGGAGCAGAGCAGCACTAGAGCAGAGCTGTCTAGGACTGGGAGGCAGGTGGCTACTTCTCTAGAAGCTATCCCCACCCCTTTCCCAGAGGAGAGCCGCAAGCCAAGAGACCACAGACTCAGCAGAGGGCTGCCACCATACTAACCAGATGCAGTCCAGGGAACACTGGTCCTTCTTAGAGCATACAGACCCTCAGCTACTCCCTGAAGTGGTCAACCCAGACAGGGACACCACCTGACTCAATGACCAGAAGGTAGAGATCAGAACTAGGACTTGTGACAATCCCTCATGTGGTCACCAATGCTCTCCTCTCATCTCCATGGGAGACCCTCCCTCCAACACAAACAGAGCCAGACAAGACCCCTGGGGTCTCCAGCAACAGGGTGGCCAGCGGTCCAGGCCCTCACTGCACAGGGATACCAGAGGCCTGGTCCAGCATCCAGCCTCACTGGTCTAGGACCTCTCCTGTTCCTTCATCATATAGAGGGCTCTGCAGCACAGGGTATGTGGAAAACTCTGGGCCCTTTGCTGAATAAGGCACAGCCAGTGGCCCCAGCCCTCACTGACACCAGGCAGAAACTTTATCTGAGGCCAAAGCCTTAACCTCAGTGTCTAGAGGCTTCTGGACAGCCACAGCAGTGGCAGTGGTACCAATAACAATGACAACCGTGGCATCAGTGCCCTGGGCTTCATGCCTACTTCACCCAGCCTTTGCAATTATCTCAAGCACAGGTGCCATTCCTGTGCTGACTGAGCTAGACAGAATGTGCCTGCTCAGGGTCCGTGGTGAGTCACTAATGGAGTTAGGATAAGACACATGCAAGGGACACTTGCAGGAGAAATGCAAGGCCTCAGCCAGATCCCAGCTGCCTGGAAAGCACATCTGCAGCTCACCCCTTGAGGACAGCTGGCCACCTACAGGGACAGTCAGTTAGGTGTGGGAGAACCCTTGTCCTTTCCATCAGGGTGAGTGAAGGGCAAACTTTGTCTCTTCTCCAGTGTGGGTACCACTTATATGACAGCACTTGTGGGGAAAAAAAGTGTCTTTACCTTTCCTGAGAACTGGGGTGGTACAGGCAGCACAAGAATAAAGACCCTATGCTGGTCCATCCCAGCCACCTGCCCACCCCCACTGATGCTGCACTGCCCTTACTCCCTAGGATGCTCTGCAATGACCTACAGGGTCTCTTCAGACCCACTGGACCCTCCTCTCAGTAATGCTGGACAGTATGAGATGGAACAGAGCAGGACAGGAATGCCCCAGGTGTACAAGCCTAGCAAAGTTGCTGCCTCCAGTCTCGAAATCACTCCAGCAGTCCAAGCTGGGCCTGACTCTTTAAGCCCCTGGTCAGCAAGGAGAAAGCTCCTCAAATTAAGCCACAGCCTAGGGTCAGTACCATAGCCCTGTCACAAAAAGATAGTGAAAACCATGGTGACACACAGAAGCTACAAGGTCAGACTGCATGACTCTGCCCTCACTCTCCCCCTCAAATGGGTTCTCTCCTGCCCAAGAATCACCTTAATTACAGCTGAGATGCCAGATTGCTTGTGGGGATAAGGGGATCATGGGACTGGTTGGGCCATCTCATGACTACCAGGCAGGGCAGGGCACGGACCAATTGGGCAAAGGCCATCTGCCCACCCAGCCCATTCTTTGGGGTCCCCCTGCCATGCATCCGCTCCAGCCCAGCTGCACTACTGGGTCCTGTCTGCATGGATCTCAAGTCAGAATCTTCACATTGGCTTGCCCCTCCTTGTAGGTATCTTGAGTCATCCTTACCTGCCCTAATTGCTATCTCTGGCCTTCTTTTGTCTAGTACACAAACCCCACTAATCTCTGCCCAATGTGAGCAGCACAAATCTTGGTTCTGTTCTCCCCCCAAGGTCAGAGCCATGCAAGAACCTGAGAATGAGTTGAACCATTCTCCAGCCTCCAGTGCAGTATGATTGGCAACTCCAATCAAAGAGCTCATTAAGGAATCACATAGAAAAGTTCCTCCTGTGACGTCTGACCTAGTGTGAGGCAACCTAGCCATGCTAGGGAGGACAGCTCACCACACCAAATCAAGCACTGTGGACAACTGCAGAAAGGAGCCTTGAGGGTCTCCAGGCTGAGACAGCACCTACTCGTAACTGCTGACATCTGATGCAGCACTGGGAGAAAATGTCCATGCCCATATCCACATCTTGTTCACTACATGTATCCACCATGCTCTCCTACCCCATAAGACATCGGAGCCCCAACATCCAGCAGCAACCAGTGCTCATAGGAAGAGTGAGCCTAGCACTATGCTGGCTGCCAAGAGGCACACAGGGCAGGAATGGTGTAATCTTCACCAACACTAGGATGCAGGGCGGGCACCTGGCTACTCTGCCAGATAGCCCAACTGCAACTGACTAGTTCAGGGACTGTCACTGGCCAGGTCTAGCCTCACTCTCCAGGGGAAATCCCAGAGGACAAGCCATCCAGAAGCATCCTGCATAGGAAGCTACTTAGAGAGAGGTCAGACTATTCAGCTGGTCTCACCCCCAGAAGAGCCAGGATTCTATGACTCTACCTCACCCATGTGCTATGAGCTCCACAGTGAGCTCTACTTGTGCTAGAAAAGACTTTCCCAAGAACCAGTGATACATTCCCTCTAAGTGGAAGTTGGAGGGAACCATGAATACCCCTGTGAGACCCCAAGAACTCTCCATGCCATCTGCACAGGCTCTGGCCTGAGCCCATAGCATCTCACCCACTCAAAAAAGCAGAAGATTTGGAGACACCACAGTAACCACACAAAAACTGACCGCAGACAAAAAGGCAGAGACCAGGAGGAAGAGGAGAAGGGGCTGAGTTCAAAGAGCGGGTACTGGGGGGATGGCCACTATTCCCAGCCAGGCATCCGAAGATGGGCCTGGAGCTGCCCATGAAGCAAATGACTGTGGCAGGAAAGCAGAGTTAGGAGTGGAGGGCAGGTGTGTGGATGTACTAATTATGGAGCCACGGATGGAATATCGTAGCAGAGCGACTCACGGTGAATTTACGCTGGAGACAGATGAGCTGCGAGATACAGTACCTCGAGTTTGCTTTACAAAGCTGCACATGCAAGAAACAAAACACAAACAGAAGTGAGAAAACCCAGAGAGAGTTCTGAAAGACACTACCACTACTCATGCCCAGTCAGTGCAGGCACAGGCTGTGGTGTACTTCTGGGCAGGAGGTGAGAGAAGTGGCATCAGATGGGCACCTGCAGAAACCTCGGAGTAAGACACAAGTTGAGAACAAATTCTACATGTGCAGAAAAGAAACTAACGTGAATACGGCAAACCCTGAATGACTAGAAGACGAGAAGCAGTTATTTCTGAGGCTGTGGGTCAAAGGTGACTTAGACCACACTGCTCCAAGAATGGCACTGGGTTTGGAAAGACCAGAGCCACTTCTGGAATCCAAACAGCCCTCCCTTCTGCTACAGGACTTGGGCATGCTGACCAGGTAGGCTCCTGGCCTTCAAAACGAGCAGCCAAGCAAGTTCTCCTCTGTGTATGACCAGCCCACCTGCCTCCAATGAGCATCTGGTCTCCACTCCACTCCAGCCCCTCAGCACTCAGGCTCAAATCCAACTACTCTAGTGTATCATGACCCCTCCAGGAGCAAATAAGATCAATCACTAACCAACCTTCCACCACCTATGACAGCCACTTCCCAGTGACCAGGTAGAAGCTTTTCCAACACAGAAAAACCAGAAATCTCTTTATAGTCATTACCCTTTACACTGACTTCCGAGGAAGTGGAGGGGGGATCCTTCCTAGGGTCAAAGTCTATACACAGTTGTAAGGAGCACAGAACAGACCACCTATCCAAAGGGCTGGTAAGACAGGACACGTGTTGGACAGTTCAAAGTGTGCTGGGAACATTGGAGTGTGTGAAATCATGTATGAATGTGTGTCTGAAATGAATGAGGTTAGGAGGGTATTAGACAATGTGTGTGTATTGCAGTGTACAGAAGCCCAGGTGAGGACCAGGGTGCCACCACAGATAGAAGGGCACAGGATGAGAGCATCAAGCCCAGAATCCCTCCCCTCATGGAGTTTGAGATGGTTGTCCTCAGGACCACCGATGAGGGCCATCCTCCTTGCTCTGCGGGATTACATGGTCCATCACCTGATCCAAGCCCTGATACCAGAGATACCAGCCCCACTCCATCCCAATAGAGCGCACACACACACACACACACACACACACACACACACACACACACACAGCTTTGGAGAACAGAGTCAGGATGAGAGGCCCTCGGTGGCAACACTCTCTTCCCAGCCCCACAGTTTAGTCTGCAGAAATGAACACAGACATCTCAACCCTCACTAGTCTCAAGAAACAGCATCAGCTGCAGCCTCACACTAGCACCCTGATTTGGCAGGACAGGCCTCTCCTAGCTCAGGCTTCTCCTGCATCCCAGGAGGCCTCTATGGTCACTCCAGGCCACCTGTGGTGTCAGAGCGCTGACTACATTTCACGTGAGCAGTGGCCTAGACCTGGGCCTGTAGGGCCCCCAGCCAGCCGGAGGAGGAACACAGGCTGAGTGTGGGGCTGTAACTGGCTCTGGAGTGGACACCGTACTCAGGACTTGGTGAGGCAGAACACCAAGGATGCCCAGGCACTTTTCCCACCCAGAAACCATTGTGGTACTCAGGCCAATAGCTGGTATCATGCGCCCAGTGCCCAGGGTGCTCCATGCCTGCACATGATATGTCCAACAGGGTAAAAGGTGATGAAGAAAGCATCTAGACTTCTTGGGTGACATTATGCAAGCTTCAGGGTCGTGCTGAGGGCCCTGGCAACTTCTTCCCCAAGGCCCTGGGCCAGACAGCAATTGATGGGCTCCTCATGCTTCCAACACTGGCCACCTCAAAGGAGTCCAGAACAAGCACTTACCCCAGGAACAGTGGAAAGGCACTAAACGGAAATACCACAAGCACATGGACTAGGAGCTAAGCAAGCCAAATATCTACTCACCATCTCTCCTCCACAGGCCCTACTAGTATGTAGAACTCACAAGGAGGGGCACAAGGGGCAATGCCGCTGGGCCACAGGAACCTCAGGACCAAGGAACTGTATTAGATTGACCAAATGACTAAACAACTGAGTTGGCCAAATAAGGGAAAAACAGAAAAACACAACTCATCACTGAGCCTCTCAGCATCTAAGCTGCCATGTCCATGGCTTATTTGGCTTGCAGCAAGGATCCCTGAGGGCTGCTCCCTCTTCCTGCTGAATTTCTCCCATACCCACAACTTTGTGCTTGGCTCAAAGAATAGTCCACTGCAAATGTTATCTCCATGGTAACTTTAGGACAGGAACAAGGGCACACTCACATGCACACTAGCAGCCTCACATGGACATACATTCATATGTTCAAAACCAAGCAACTCATACACACACATTCAAATCCAGCATGCTCTTCATGTGCTAACACACATGCTCAATGGTGCACAGAATGAGCCCCAAGGGGAAGTACCTCTGCTCTACTGATACCCTACAACCAAGCTCAGCCAGCTTTCCTGCCTCCTTCCTTGGAACTACCTAACTCTAGCCCACTGCTTCATTTGGCCCAAATTTAAAGTCCTCAACCCTCCTAATGAAGTGACCACCTCCCTCCAGGACTCAACCCTATCGCCACATTCGCTTTTCTCATCTCAGAAGCTCTTTGGCTTCTGTTTCAAAACAAAACATTCTCAAGGACATCGAGTTTCTTGGGCTGATAAAGTTCCACATAGAACCCCTTGGCTTGCCAAATACCTTTCTGAAAAACTGTACATAAGAGCAACATGCTGACTCCTCACTCCAGACTCCCCAGCTCTGTCTGGCAAGGGCCCTGGAGTCTCCAAGACCATACAGTGAGCCAGTATTATAGCACAGCCAATCCCACCTTGAATATGAGGGCGCTCTGTCCATATCAGCATGGGAGGAAGCTACATTGCTTTTTCAGGGGAACCCTAGGGCTCCTTTAAGTCCTGTTCTAGAGAGGACTGTGTGCTTACAAACCCTGGTCAAGGCAAGAAGAGCTCTGAGGAAGTCACAGGAAGCACTCAGTCATGGACTCTGTTATTGTCCCATGCCACCCACAATCTGCTCCTAGAAGCCTTACGCAGCAATGGAGATGTTGGCGGCAGACATGGGGCTGACTTCAGCCACTTCTTTGGCTTTTTGCAGAGCAAGCTTCTGATTGGCTGCTTCTTCCATCTCCTCTTCATCCTGTTTGAATTATAGAAACAGCTGTCCCTTCAGAATGCTATGACCACCTTATACCATCAGCTCTTGCTCCTACAGTCTCTGTGCCTCTTCCTCCCTTTGTACCATGGAGTCGGGCAGCCAGCTACTGTGTGGATATGGATCCTCTTTGACCCACAACACTAACTCTCTCTGGTACCTTTCAGGGTCCATCCCGTGTACGTGGCTCAAAAATGATGGTCCCAAAGTTTGAGCATTATTTGTAATGTCAGTTTTATTGGATTAAGAAATGCTGAAGGGATTAGTAACGCATACTTCTGGGTATGTCTACGTGAGTCATGGAGGAGCAACTTTGGATGTTGCATGTGGTTCCTGACACCTTCCTCTGACATTATTCCCCTGCTCTGCTTCCTGACCACCATGAACTAAACGTCTTGGCTCTGCCATGCCTTTCTACCATGTTTCTGCCTTGAATCCAGCCAACATGGACTTAATACCCAGAACTGTGAACCAAATTAAACCTCTCCTCTAAATTGTGGGTGTCAAGTATTATGTCTCAGCAGTAAGGAAGCTAGTACAGAAAACTGGTACTAGAAAAGCGGGGTCATCGCTGTGACTACACCTGATTATGTCATTCAGAAGTCTTTGGAACTGGTTTGCAGGAGTAGTTTCAGTATGTTTAGAGATATGAGCTAGAGAATTTCTAGAAGGCTATAAATGAGAGTATGACAGATAAGCTCAGAAGGCCAGAATGTCAACTGTGAACAGTAACAGCCAGGTTCAGGTTTCAGTTGGGAACAAGAGTTCATTTGCAATTGGATTACAGACCACACATATCACACTCTGGCAAAAAAAAAAAGTCTACATTTTACCAATATCCAAAGACTGCCAAAGATTGAAATAAAAGGTTAATAGACTAACTGATCTAATAAAAGAAATTTCAAGCAGCCCAACATTCAGGCTGTGGGATGTATTGCTGGCTGCTTCTAGACAGAATTACACTGAGAATTAAGAGCAAAAAGCAAACCAAAAAATTTGAAAAACTTAATATTTGGCCCAATAGAAACCATATGTAAAACTGAGACTAAAGGTAATGTGGTTACCAAAGAGATTACCAAAATTATAAAGAAACCAGACACTTCGTACTGCTTCAACATGAAAGATACCTTGAAGGAATTTCAGGAATCAACAAAACACCACCTATCACAGGTTCAAATGTGCATTTGAGAAGAAAGCCCAGCATTCCCTACTCAAGAAAGGCCGCTTAAGGAATTGGCTCTCTGAATTCATTTCATCATATTCAGCCATCCGGGCACTGCCTGCACCATTGGAAGATCTTGCCATTGCCCACATGATGATGGTTTTACTGGCATACAGAATGCAGGAGCTGTGGAATCAAAGTCTTCCACCCAGATTTCAAATGAAGGCCTTGGAGGCCAGGCAAGGTACCCCTGAGAAGTGGGGAATAAAGCAAAACGTACAGTAGAAACCTCAGAAAGTCAGGTGCTAGCCCAAGAAAGAAGACAGGTGGGCTGCAATCCAATTCTTTTCTCTCTTTCTTCTTGTTGGAGTAGGAATGCCTGCCTTGGGGCAATGTATGTTAGAATTACGTAACTTTTGTGTGTGTGTTTTTTAAAGAGGTTCAAAACTAAGGTATGCCTTGAATCTTGGAAGAAATCTAGACTTAGGCTTTTGAAAAATGCTGGTACTGCTAAGATTTTGGGCAAGGGGTTACTGTATTTTTAATTATATGCAAAGATAAATGTAAAATGTTATGTGGAATTATTAATGTATTACTGTGCTTGTCTGCAGAGTAAGCATACTTTAGAGAGATATGTTTTTGAGTGTCAAGTTGATAAGGAAAGGACTGTAACCATTAATTATGGTATGTCAGCTTGATTGTATTAAAATGCCTGGGGGATTCATAAAGCATATTACTGGGTTTGTGTGGGTAGATTTTAGAGGTGTAACCGTGAGTACTAAGTATGGTTCCTAGGTCCTTCTTCTCAGGAGATGTTCCCTCTCTCTGCCTCCCAGCTGCAATGAACTAAACATTCCTGTTCACCATGCCCTTCTGCCATCTTTCTGCAGTATCAGCCAATCATGGACAGAATCCTCTAAAACTATGAACCAAACTAAACTTCTCCACCTTTAATTTGTGGGTTTCATGTAGTGTGTCTTAGCAATGTGAACAGTGACTACCATACTAAAGCTTCTGCTCCATATCTCCTCAACTATGCTATCTCCAGTATGTTCACAAGCTAGTGACACACATCTGTCCTTGTACCTTGACTTCATCCCTGAGCTTCTGTCTCAAGGAATCAAGCTACTACCCTGATGTTTCTACCTATCTGTACCATGCAGTTCAGACTTAATGGTAAAATACAAATCTGCCCTGGTTTTCATCACGTCTACTCCCCTAGGGGCACTTGTCCCACTTGAACAAAGCTGACTTCCCTATAGAGCCAGGAGGGAAGTTGGTACTGGCCAACCACTGGAGCATTCAGTGGGGACACATACCACCTTTGAGCTTTTCTGTCTGATTACATCTATCCAGCCAGCCCCAGCTATAGCTGTGAAGCTCCACATGGCTCTTTACCACCAAGGCTGGACATGCGCTTTTGTGTACACAGGAACCTCTGTCTCCTGTCTAAGAATGGACATCTGGACAGACTCTGACCCCAAGTCACTAAGCACAACCAATATGCTGTGCTTCTGGGCTCTGGATCAACAGATCCAGGCTGAGTTCACAGCCCAAAATAGGCTATCTGAGATGCCACAAAACCCACAAGCCCAGGCTCACCTGGTTCTCCTGGAACCTGGCATTCCTAACATCTCCCCAAAATACCTATGAATCTGCTCTTAGAGACACAATAATGGCAACAGTTAAATCCCCTGAGAACTGCCTGAGAATTTCTGTCATAGAGAAAACATCCTCAGCTTTCGGGCCTAGTAAGAAGACAGAGCTAGTCTACGCAGAGCACTTCCAGCAATACCCTTCTCAGAGGCCTAGAACCACTCCTGCTTACAGCCTCTGGGGCATGGGCACCCGAATCACTCCAAGGAGTATTCCAAAGTCCCCTAAAAGGTCTACAAACAATTAAATTTGAATTTATTCCCACTTCACAAAATAAAGAATGCTACATTTGCAGAAATACAGTGTTTACTTCAGCTCATGAATGCTTTTTAGCAAACGATTTGATTTGCAAACAGAAGTGTCTAGCAAAATTTTTGTTTGAAAACTCGGCATCAGATGACAAACATGACCATGGTCATCTTTTCCACACAATCACAAGCATGGCCATCTTTTCCAAAACTGTAGAACAAATTACATTTGTGAACCGAGGTTCCATTGTATAAAGGAAGGTAGAAGTCATGCCTTATATTCTGGGGTTCTTGGCCAGCTGAAAAAAATGCCCATGACCAGACAGACAGGACTCCATTCGTGAGGTGAATCCCTAAGTCAGACCCAATTACAGTGGGTATGCACGTTTGGACATTGCCTCCACCCCACATCCTCACTCACAAAAGGACTTGAAAAGAAAATAAGCCGTGTGACTGAAGCTCAATCCTGAGATGGCAGATGATCTGATCACCAAATGCTACCAGGCACCTCAAATTCATGCAGTCTCAGAAATCCTGACCCCCATGAATACACATGGGCTCCCCCAGCCAATGCAGCCTGGTCAGGATCTGGACCACTCTGAGACAGCAAGACTAAGCTTTAACCCCAGTTAATGACACCAATGGGAAGCCCAATGGCACTGCAGAGTCACAGCACAAGCCGGAGGCTCTCCTGGGTGAGTAGCTGCAGTGTCCAAGGCAACAAGGCGAGGACGACCAGGTAGCGGTTCATGTCAACTTAAGGGAAACCACAGAGGGTGACATGTGTAATTATATCCCCCACTGGGCTCTAGAAGGAGAGATGAATATTGAATGGCAGCCACTGGGCACTGCCTGGAGAAGAAGCCATCCTGCTGTGGCACTGATGTGCTAAGACAGAGTACCACCTGCTCCTTTAGGCGCCATCCATGCACAGAATCTGAAGCAGCACTCCAGGGTGTTCCCTTACTGCCCTTTAGGGTCTTCAGAACAGGACCTTCCCTAGGGGCACCTCAGGCACCCCTTGTACTTAAGGGATGCTTCCCCAACATCACACACTTGCTCTGATGGGAACATCTGTGGCCTTCACTCATGAGGAGGGGCAGCACTCTCCAGTCCGCACCTCCTAACAGATACCCTGCCTGCCTGGCCATGACTCCCCAGGCTGCAGATGCTCTGGGAGCTGTCAGTCTGCCTTCCTGGGCTGCTCTCTTTATGTTTCCACAACTATAATCCTATATATCCTGAGCCCCATATAACCTCCATCTGTTCAGACCTTAAGATACTTCCCTGAACATCAGTTATGTGGAATTACAACCCAGAACCTGGCCCTCCCCATGACTTCATACAGAGTGACCCGGACAAACTCCCAGCCTCCCCTGGCATCCAGGCTGCAAGTGGCATCCTACCTACCTTGGTCAGTTCCTGAGCGTTGGCAAGGTTGTCCACAGCAATGGCCAAGAAGACATTTAGCAGGGTATCTGGTTGGCTCCAGTTAAGGAAAGGTCACAGTCACATCATGTCAGCCCATGGAAAACATGGGCTCCCATTTCCCAGATCACCTCACTCCAGCCTCCTTCCCTTTGACACCACCAGACCCCTCAGGTCCCTGTCACCTGTAGCTAACTTTACAGGCTCCAGTACCCTCATCTATCCCCTCACACGCTCTTACCCCTCCCTCTATTAGTTTCATACCACCCATTTCCCCTAGTAGCCACAAGACCTTTCCTCACCCAGCTCTCCAGGGCTGACATTGAGAGGCTGTATTACATCAATCTGCCATTGAAGAGGGCACAGGGTCTGCCGGCCTCTGTCCTTACCTCTCCCATTTTCTTTTTTCTTTGCTTTTTTTGAGACAGTGTCTCATTAGGCAGTTCAGGCTGGCCTTGAGCTAACTTTGTAACCCAGGCTGATCTTGAACTCTCAACAATCTTCCTGACTCAGTCTCCCAAGTACAGGGATTACAGGCATATGCCGCCACATCCAGTTCCTCTCCCATTTTCTCATCAGCATAAAAAGCCTTGCAACAAATATCTGTTTTCACAGACTCTAGTTGGGGCTCCAACACCTCCCAGTGCAGATGCTCAATACATAAACCTACCTGTGACTAGTGACTATCCTACTCCAGTCTTAGGTGGTTTCCAGATGCCCCACAATCTTACCTGTCCTTTCCTTTCACTTTGAACTCCAACATGGACTCTTGGGTGCCCTTCCTCCTAGGAGCTCTCCTGAATGTCAGAGCTAGAAGGCACAGGGCAGCCTGAGTACTAGCACTATACCCTGACCTGATCCCAGGAACCCTGGGGCAAAGGGCTGCCATTACCCTGTTAGCAACAAGGAAGCCAAGACAAAAAGTAAATGACCTACCCCACGTCCCTCTCCAAATCTCTCTAGGGAAGGCCCTCACTCTGTCTCCCCTTGGTACTCTAGCATAAGGCATCTTCCTCCCATCACTGGGTGCAGCCCTGCCCACAGCTCTATTGAATGGCACTGCTGCACGACTGCGCCCTGTGACAACAGCAAGCATCCCTACTGTGACCAGCACTGGTCCCACCAGACCACAGCCACCGGCCTGCCCTCCTAACTCACCTCATCATTTCAGTGGCTCGGCCTTGGCACTGCTAACACATTGGGCTGGGCAAGCAGGGGAAGATGTTGAGTAGCACCCCTAGTCTACTTGATGCTTATAGTCCAGTCCTAACAACCAAAATGTCGCATGTATACAGTAGGTCAACCCTCACAACGTGACAAAATTCAGAATACTAAGAACAACCATGGAATGTCCAAGAGGCCTTCCATGCCTTGAGCTAAGGACCATGCCTTGGGGACCCAGTCAAAGGGACATACAAGCCACCCTGACTGGACTGAGCAGGAACACATGGCAGGCAACATGTCTGGCTTGAGTATCAGGATTCCACTGAGACAAGCTACTGCTTTTCTAGGGCAGTGGCACCCCCTGGATATCACCGTCCCCTGCTGAGACTAACACTGCAGCCTTCTCCCACTGCCAATTACAGTGGTCAGCACTGGCCCAGTCCCAACCATCTCCAAACCAAATGCTGTCCCCCAAGACTGAGCCCCTCCTAGGCCTCACCCCCAGCCATGTGAGGCCAGATCTGGGGGCCAGAGGGAATACATAATCTGGGGCCCTGTGGGATCTGACACAGGGCTATAATCTTTAAGGTTCACTACCCAGGGGAGCTCCAGCATCAAAGTGTCCTCCTAGGCCTGCATTCCTATTGGCCCTGGTGGCAACCACTTTTACACCTGGCTGTCCTGGCTAAACCCTGGCCTGTATCATGAACCTTGTGGATCTTCCTTTCTAGGTTTTCTTGGGCCCCAACAAGTTTCCCACATGGCCCCTGCATGAAGCAGGGCTTATCATCAGTGGCTGTGCCTGCTTACTCTGCACATGCCCTTCCACCACCAGGCTGTAGCCAAAACCCTCTGCGGACCTCCACAGGGGTCTTTCTGTATCTCTCTGCCAGGGCTGGTTTTCAGCAGGAGGAGGTTTCTTAAAGCTGGATGCCAAAACTCTCTGTATTAAATCAGAGGGGGAGGAAGTCCTGCTCTTGGCCTCCCAAGTCCCCCACCTTCTGTGAGCCCCAGAAGACTGCTAGAGTGTTTCCTAAGACACAATGATGGCCATCTACTCCACTGTCATGTACACTGGCCTCCAGACCTGTCACTTGGGCTAACCTTGGGACTCTCAGCACCTGCACTTAACTATGAGACTATGCAGCTGAGAAGCCCCGTCCCTTCCTTGTCCTCCTGGAAGGAGCCAAGAGGTAGCCATAGCAGCAGTGTTCTGTGTACTGACCACCTATTCCCCAGCCCCACAGAAGGATACAGTTTCCAAACAGTGTCAGGACAATGAAGTAAAAGGAGGAAAACATGCCTTTGCTGACCCCACCTTGCGACTCAATCCCATGATACATTACTGCATTCCAGTCCTCTCCTGTCAGGATCTGCAAGAGGAGAGCACCACAGGGCATACCTACACACACTGTATACAATGCATGTGTACACACCCAGGGTCAGACCATCCACATTAGGGTACACTTGCAGGTCTCCAGATGAAGTGGTTCCAAAGGACTAGGCAGCCTAGGATCTTGCAGAAAAATGTTCCAAAGCACATGCCTACTGACCTGGGTCAGGTTAAGACACAAATATGCTCTAGGTTTTCAGCAAAAGTGGGAAGGGAGCTCTGAGAGAGGTGAGCAAAGGCCAAAAAAGGGTGCAATGCTATCACTATGGAGGCAGATGAGGGCAGAGAGGGGCATGCGCTGCTAGAGGACACAAAATGGACATGGGCCTTCACTCTCCCAGGCTCTGCCACTGGACCTTGTGGCTTCACTCTCACAACCTGGTTAAATACAACCCCTGCCCCAATGCAAGTCCACATGTCCACCTTTTTTTTTTTTTTTACAAAGTACAAGGCGGTAAGATAACATGTGTCCACCACCCAAAGTGGAGACTTAACATTCTGTCACAATTGCATTGTTCCTGCTGCCCATAAACATCCCCAAAGGGAATCCCAATCACAGCTTCACAATTCTGCAGCATGCCACACACATCTGCCTACAATGCAGCTGTGTATTAGGTATGCACAAAAAGTATCCACCTCATGCCACTCCTCCACTTGAAGTTTTCACTCCACATTCTACTTTGAAGTTCACGTCAATACACAGAATCCTACCTATTCATACAAATATCAACATTTTCCTCCTGACAGCACTTTTTAAGTTTTCATTGTCTCCTGTGCACATCTCTAGCATGGAAACCACAGAGCAGCAGGTGACTTTACTAGGTGTTTCCAAAGTGCTTGTACCAATCACACCCCGACTCCCATCCTGAGCAGCACAGCAAGGTTTCGCTAACCCTCACACCACCCATAGCACTGTCACATCCTCTGGTGTCCCATCTGTCCAGGGCCCCTGAGACTTCTCTCCCTTAATCCATATTTCTGATGGTACATCTTACTGATCTGAGATTACCTTATGCATTCTTGCATATAACACTCCATTATCCACACTAGCTACTCGAAACATTTTTAGTCTTACTTTAATATTATAGTCTCATTTATTTTAGTATTATAAAGAAGTATAAACCAGGTCTGGTGGTGCAAACCTATAATCCTAGCACTCTGGAAGTCTGAGACAACCTCCCAGATCACAAGTCTAAGCCCAGTCTGGATAATTTACTCGAGAAAGTCTCAGAATTAAAAATTAGAAGGGCCAAAGGCACCTGGATTCAATTCTCAATACCAGGGGTTGGGGGTGGGAGTGGTGCTTAATGTAGTCAAATGTGTCAGCCTTTTCCTTTATACTTTATGCTTTCTATACGCTTCTTTTCCCTTTCCTTTTTTCTGTGGTGCTAGACATGGACTCCAAGGCTTCAATGCACGGCAAGCAAGCACTCTTCCACTGAGCTACATTCCCAGTTTTTAGGTAATTTTGTTGTTGTTGTTGTGTTGTTTTCTGAAACAAGGCCTTGCTAAATCACCCACAGTTGCAACCTTCCTGTCCCAGCCTTCAACCTGTAATTAAAGGCATGCACTAAGATCTGACTTTAATAAAACATCAATAAAGATTAAAACATGGTTTTTCACATTATCTGTACACTAACTGAAGTTCTTCATAATTATGTGGAATGATTTTTTTCCATAAGGAAAATCCATTTCCCAGACCCATTTTTTTAATATTACATCCTCCCCTGTTGATTAACTTCTTATTCAACTGGGCATGTTCATCTGTCCTTCACATTGTCTTTACACAGACCATACTACCACCACAACTGCAGCCAGACATATCTGGGAGGGCCAAAGCCTTCTTCCTTCCTCTCACATTCAGAGTGCCTGCCCCTCCACTCCTGGACATTTAGGGTCCACAGGGCATAAAACGTCGCCATGGAGCTCTGACTGCATCCCACCTGTCTTAACTGTCCTTGTGTGGCTTTGGTGTCAAGACTGCACTTACCTCGTAGCAGTTCCTGCCCTGCCCAAAGATGCTTGTGTAGGCTAGCAGCCAACGGCTCTTGGCAGGAAGGGAAAATTCACCTCCTAACCAATGGGCCCACGGAAGAAGGCAGAAAGACAGGAAGAAGGTTTTGGCTATGATTCCATTTCTCTAATGACTATGAAATGTCTAGATTTTCTTTTTGAACTAATTTGTTTTTCTATAAAACTGCATGTTTCACCTAAGTTTTCAAATCTATTGGCACAGAGTTGTCATGAAGTATTTGGCTATTTTTTTTTTTGATGGTCCCCCTCTCAAAACAATTCTTTTTTTTTTATTTATTTAAGGAGAAAAGAAAAGAAAGAAAAAAAAACAGTGAAGGGGTACAAGTTATACAGATTTACAGGAGAAAAAAATGCGCAGTAGGCAATCACTAGTTAATAGATTACATATTGCCATCTTAGAAATAATTGTTCAAGTCACAAAATTAAAGCTTGTAGAGTGGACATTCCAACAATGATACTGCAAACAGTTCTGTTCAATGATCCAATAAAACTCTGTGATATCATTTTCTATCTTATACATTTAAATATACATGCAGTTATATAGTTTAGAGCACTTTCTTTTCCTCTCTTTTGTACAATGACTATTACACATTTTGGGTTTCATTGCTCCCACGGTTCCTATTGCTTTTTTGGAAGAGAGTAAAACCAAATGTGACATAACAGAACAGAATCGGTCAAGTCAAAAGGGTGGACATAATAGATAATATAAAAACATAATACAAGGTGATCAACAATGGTTACCATAATGCCTCCCGCTATTTCTAATAGAATTGCCTATATCATTAGTTGTTATACAATTGAACAAAACCGTAAAGAATAAAACCGACAAAACCAAAACATTGGAGATATTGTAGGTCTTCAAAAGTAGGTAAAAGTCAACGAGAATGGGCGTTATAATGAATCTCATTATCTTCTCAGCTGATGCCTAAACTTTCGAACCTGATACTATCCAGCAAAACAGAATAGAGGAACCTCAGTCAAAAACAAGATGGTGAGAGTAATACAGGGCTTCAAATCGAGATAATAGAAAGTCAAAGTGGGTTACTATATTATATCCTGCTATATTTTTCCCTTTAATTAAATGGATAAAAATAAAAAAGTAAATAATGGAGTGGAGATTGAGAAGAAAGAGGGCATAACAGCGAAACAGGGCAGATCAAAATATAACCATTTAAGCAGAATAGTGTTTCACCACCAGATAATCCTGACCCAAAAATAGTTACCATATTGACTCCCTCCCTGAAGTCCTTGAGTACAACTTCATATACTGTAGCATTAAGTATATCAAAACAATGTAAAACCATTTAAGAGAATGACAGCATTATAGAGTATTTAGAATCGACTAACAGAAAATGAACAATGGTCTCTGTATAATCTCCTTGTCCTTAAAAGGTTTTTGCTTATACTATCGTACATAACAAAATCCAATAAGATACAACCTGTTTAGACCATTGGAGACAGAAGAACAAAAGCTAGATGAGACTTCAAAACAAGATGGTACTAAATCAGCATTACCTATTAAGATGTCATTTTCTCCAAAAAAAGCTGTTCCTATCATCCAATCTTCTCTGTCTCATTTCTGTTGAGCTCTTTTTCTGTCAGTAGCTGTCAGTTTGTCTTCTTCATTTTGTTCTCTGCTCCATTCGCTGTGGCCTCCCCGTCACTATTTCTGGGTTCTTTGTATTTTTCTTTTTTTAGAATATCCTGCAATACTTTCTGTAGGGTTGAATTGGTGGTTGCAAATTCCCCCAGTTCCTCTTTATCCTGGAAGCACCTCGTTTTTCCATCAATTTCCAGGGACAGTTGTGCAGGATATCTCAATCTTGGCTGGAGATTATTATCTTTCAAAGCTTGAATTATTTCTCCCCATGCTCTTGGTGATTTGATGGTTTGTGAAGAGAAATCTGCTGTAATTCTGATGGGTATTCCCTTGTAAGTGATCTGTTTCTTGTCTCTTACAGCTTTTAATATTCTGTTCTTGTATTGAATTTCTGGAATTTTTATTATTATATACCTGGGTGTTTCTCTGTTAGGGTTGTAGGTAGCTGGGGTCCTGTATGCCTCATACATCTGAGTATCTTTACCTTTTGCTAAATTAGGAAAATTCTCCTGGATTATTTCTGTGAGTAGCTTTTGTAGTTCACTTGTTTGTGTCCCTACTTCTTCTTTTATGTTCTTAATCCTTAAGTTATGGCTCCTCTTATCATCTTCTTGTCTTTGTATTATTGCTGTGTGTTTCTTTGTTATTTTTAAGAAGTTTTTCATTTCATTCTCCCATGTTTCAAGTCTGCCCTCCAATTCAGATAGTCTGTCCTTAGTTTCTTTCAAGCTGTTATGCCAGTCTTGGATAGACTTCTTAATTTCTTGATAGTCTCTTTGAACCTGCTTCACATACTCAATGCTTTCTCTGTTTTCTCCATCAAGCAATTCTCCCCTCTTTTTCTGTTCTTCCATTCCACCATCTGCTTTTTCCTGGGTGGTGCTTAGCATTTCTCTAACTATTCTGCATACTTCTAGCTTCAGGTCATTGATAACTTCATTCCTGAATTGGTCTATGAGGTTCTCTAGATGGCACTTAATGTATATTGGTGCGGTGTCCACTATTGCCTGTTTCTCAGGATTGGGGGCCGAGGAGCCTTTTTTGTTGCTTCCCTTCCCCATATTTTCTGTTCCTTATAAAATGCACTCTTACATAGGTGGCCCGGCTTCCCTGCCTGTCAGCCACAGCCTGATCAAATTGCGCTGGGTAGTTGTTCCCACCCACCGCTGTGCCCCAGGGAGTTGCGGAGGAGGCAGCCTACGCGGGAGTCGGTCGCTCCTCCGGGCCACCGTCAGGCTCTGGGGTCTGGGTTAGGTCAGCCTAGGGAGTCCGCCAGCAGCGTCACTCAGGCCAGGCACCTTTCACCAATCCCGTCCGAGAGGGGAATGTGCGGCTGGAGTTGTCAC